GGCCATTTGCATTACATGGCATTTCTCTTTTAGATAGTTGATAACTAAAAATTATTACTTACTGAATTACATAGCCTGGACTCCAAAGAGGTTACTAAATTTGGAAACTTTAGAAGAAGAAATCACTATCAAAATTTGAGGCAAGTTCCTAAACCCAAAGATAATTAATTGTATTGATAGAAACCATCAATCAATTAAACCATTCAGCATCGATGGACAACGGTTTTTGCTAATTTTAGGAACAAGCTGCTGGATTCCAGCAGAGGGTTAACACTCTTGAAATGTTATGAAACACATGGGACAAAATAATAATATATATATATATAAGGAAATACTTATCTACAGAATGGTTGAATCTGAAAGAAATTTAAATATGAACATAAAATGAGAAATAACTATACTAGTGTTATAATGAGGTTTACATCCAGTGATACATTGACTCCAAAAGTTGATGGAAACCCTCCTCATTTCCCTATTTTTCAAGACACATGAGATACATAAAACTCAAATGATTTTCCTCATGGAAAATTGGTAAGTTAAATCGAAGAATAAAGGAGCGTGTTAAATGCTTTCTATCAATGAGTTTAGGAATGGCCTGATGTATTTCCAATGCTTTCAATGAGCTCAGTACTGAGTTTAGAAACTTGCCCAAAGCTATTGAAGAAGTTGTGGATTGTATTAGACATCAGAAATGGCTTTTTAATATGAACACAAATATATAAGAATATGCTGGAAGTGCAAGCTCCACTGCGGACTTAATGAAAGATTATTATATAATGCTTGCCATTTCAAGATGATCAAATTTAGATGAAGGAGTAATGACCCAAAAATATTAATAGAAAATATTTAAAACCAATAAATTGACTTGAGGATCTAAAACAAAGAGATAAATAAGGGAAAATGAAATTAATGTAATTTTACCAAACAAAATAGACTATCACATTATTTTTTCTTATTTTTAAGATAAACATATTTCTAACAGAATAAATTTACTACCTACTAGTGTATTAATCAAATATTATTCAAGAAATATATACATGATATCTAGGAGGACAGAACAAAACTAAAAACACTAAGCAAGAAAGAATATGAATTTCTAAACTAGTGAAAAATAAAATAAAAGTAAATTAAAAAATAAAAATAAAAAAACACAAAAGTATAAGATAATACAGCAAGTAGCTCAATAAGTCTTTTGCGATTGGTCTTTGCAGTAAGTCTTTTGATTAGCACCGCAGCAGCCTTCTGGGTGGATTATGATGATTTGAGGCAGATAGATAGAGCTTGACTAAATGGACTTTAATTTAAATTCATTCAGCCATGAAAATTATTAAAAGAGTCAATTAAAAATGATCTTGTTGTTTTTAATATCCTCTATTACTCAATTCACATTTTCTATAAATTATATAAAACCTCATAAGATTTAAATGGTATTTCCATTTCCAAAAGGAAACAGTTTTTGTATGATTAAAGATATTTTATGAAATATAACAAGAAAATTAAACTATCCATACTATGTTCAAATAGAATTATAAACTTAATTTTACGGATATATAATTCAACATTATACAGCTTAGAAGCCAGATTAAAGAAAAACCAAAAAGAAGTAATTTCTTTATATAAAATTTTGCTTATTTTGCTTAGGCTAAGGAGAGAGGGTTAAATTCCCTTGGTCCCTAGGATAATTTTCCCGGGCCACCTCAAATATTAAATTTAATACTAAAACTCAACTGAAGCATTTTATAAAGTGTGCAACAAAAATATTATGTGAAGATAAAATATAATTACTAGATATGTTCAATGTTATCTCTATTTTATTTTATGTGAAATAATAAGTTAAAAAATAAAATCTTATAGGAGCCCGGACTCCTGGGCTGCGACCCCAGCTGACACCCTCACGTTGGGCCTGCTTTTAGCAAATGTGTTATACTGTTATTGAAAAATAATGCAGTCTTATGGTTCTTAGTTTTTTAAGACAATGATTAACAAAAACTAATCAATTTTTTAAAAGCTTAAATAATTTCATTATCATTTGAAAATATGATGTCCAGCCATATAAATATCTTATTACTGAACACAGAAAAACAAACCGAAATAATCCCAGATCATTAATTTTTAATAACTTATGGTTAATTTTCAATTTGAGGCAACTCGAAAGCTACAAAAGGACATCGACTATCACCAAAGTTGGGATGAAATAAACGATTGAAGCTGAATGAAGATAAAATTGAAGCTGTCCTGACTGATTCCAGATATCTCATTAGCTCCTTTTTACTCTCCTCTACTTGACCTTTATAACCCCACCATTTTCTTCCAACAGTCTGGAATATCCGTTTTTACCAGATTACTCGAAAATTCACAACTATCCTTAAACAACTCATAACCTTCTGTAATTCTATTCCTAAAAAAAAAAAACGAGACAGCTCCTTGTAACCTCCTTTATTTTTCTCCACTTTGAATATGGTTATATGGTGTATGGAGGGCTATCTCCAAAGCTAGAGACGAGACTGAAGAGACTTATGAATTACTTATTATTTAATTATTTATTTATATATTCCAACCTCCCATGCCACTATGGCAATACGGGTGTTTTTAATAGTGTGTTATTAGGCATGAATGCTTAATAGGGCACTGCTACAAGTTAACTGAGCAAGGATGTACACCCAGTTAGCAGTTCTTCCTTCTTGCTTATCATTTTTGGCATAGATTCCAGAATGTGGAGGTCTTCCTGGCACTTGTCCACTTCTTCTGCGGGCACCAATACAGAAGTGAGCAGGTCCCATCGCTGTCTTCCATCTGTTTATGAATTCCTTAAACCGTGGGAAATTTTCCTCAGTGACTAACTGAAACTTATTTTCAGTGAGGATATAAATTCCTGCGGCTCTTGTCATATGCGCTCATAACATTTCAAATGCGGCGCAGGTCGTGAAACGTGCTCTACAGTTTCCAGAACACTACAGGTTGGGCATAGAAGATTTTCATCAATACCCAGACTTTATTAGATTCATTTTTCGGATTCCCATGTGTTCTCATATTTCCTACAGGTGCATCAAGTTGAAGTGGTTCTACCCTATTTCCCTTCAACGGCAATTCCTTCTTGGTGTTTTCCCTTTCCGAGTCCTCAGAACCAAATATCCTCTCTACATTCTAAAATTTCTTACTCTACATTTCTCTATCCATTCACCTAATAGCAGATTTCAACCTATACACCTATATATTCACTCCCATAAAACCACTTCCTTCAACAAATCATTTATTAATTTGTGCAACCTCCTTTTGGAACTCCATACCTATCACCATACATCAATCCTCGTTCACAAATTCCTTCAAACAACTCCTCAAACACTACCTACTTCATATTCAATCTTCCACAATCATGTAAGAATTTTTAGATTTTATAATTACAATTTCTTATTAACAGTTAAATGATAAGAGCCATTTTATTTGTATATTTATTTATTAATTTTCTCTATATCTTTTTTGTATATATCTGTATTATTTCTACATGGCATCTAGTAATGTACAAATGTACATATTTTAACTTTGTCATTATTCAAAGAGGACTTTACTCCCAGAATAAAAATATTTTTCATTCATTCATTAATTTTACTTGGATGAAAACTCAAATTAATTTTATTTTAATTTAAAATACAACAATATCCAAACAGAATACAAGCATTGGGTGTCTTTGAAATTGAAAAAAAGCTATTGTATTAGTTATTTTTTTACAACCCCTATCATTTGTAGACAAAATGAATTAAAATATTTCATCAGGTTTATATGTATATCTATTCAACGTTATTAATCCTTTAAAAAATATTCATTTAAAATATTTATCGACTTCTTTTAGAATGGTTATAGAATGTTTTATGAAAAATTAATTTTTTCATATATTTCTATTTTCAGTTGATTGTTTCGTCAAAACAGAAATAAATGTGAATGATGTAAACTTGTTTTCACAGGCCAACTCATTGACATTCGAGTCAATATAATGTAATATCATTTATTTATTATAAAAAAGATTTTGTATGCAATTTTCATTTTCAGCAAATAAAACCAGAAATTGGATATGACCCAACTTGAGTACCACACTGTTATTGGGCTGAGACAATGTTTGGCAGTCAGATTGCTTTAAATAAGTGTTATCTTGTTTATATTTTTTCCTTTCTCATCCATATAAGCTGAATAACTAACTATTTTAAGGTCATTTCAAGCATTGGTTATTATTTGAGATATGGCCAATAGTAATGTTTTAAAGATTAATTTAAGAATAATAAAAAAAAAATCTAAAATCCAGTTATTATATTCATATGATAATATGTAGATTTCACAACGCTGAATTGTTCAATCCATGATGCACTTATTCTTTCAACTTGACAAATATCTGCTCAGAGTACCAGAAGTTATTTAACAAACAATTCTAGCAACCAAAAGCCATTTAAGTGCTATGGGCACAAATAGAGTGTAAAACAACGATTTCGCCATCATAGAGTGGTCATTCAATCATTTCAGTTATACTACAAATCGAGGGTGTTTAAAATTATGAATTATAAACCGAAAATTTAAAGGCAGAATCAATCATAACATCATAATGAGACAAATATGGCCACTGAAGCACAACCTATTATCTATAACAGAAAGCTCGCAGTTCTTAGAAAATACACAAGAGGCGCTAGGAATGCCGATCAATCAATGAACGGCTGATCAAGGTTAGCGAATTCAAATTTTCTACGCAGGTCAACAGCATTACAACGCAATTAACGGAAACTTTCAACTTGTTTGCAAACAGAACCTCCCTGGTAGAACCATGTGACTGCAAGTATAAGAAGCATCCTTCTCTTTCATCAAATGTCATTTCAAACACGCAATGATACACTTTTAAAACTAAAAATAACAGGCTGTGTATAAGATTAAGCATATAAATATCTTAACAATAGTACATATTTGCATTCACCGTAATGTATAGTTACTGACAAACGGCTCGGTTTATATAATGATTAATACTTGATTACAGCTATTGGCCTATTAGAAGCTAAAATATAATTCTAAACATTCCTCATTCAAATACCAAAAGCCACTGTTAAGCAAACTACTATTGTTTTTGTTTGTTTATAATATTTTTATTATCTTTATTTTGTTTTTTAGGATTCTGCAGAAAGCTGATCCTTTGTGATCTTTAGCAACAAACTTGGCAAGCGCCGTGGGATGCATTAATCGAAGCGCTGAGTGCAATTAGATTGTGCACTATTGCGTATGAAGCAACTCACCTTGCAAATGTGCTTAGCCCCCAAGTGGACTGTAGAAGAAGAGGCTAACAGAGGAACTTATCGAGCGGCTTTTGCTTCTGATCTCGAGCGCATTCTCTTAGCTATTCTTCGAACCTGGAAAGATTTCCGAGAACTCTTGCAGCTTTCCAAGAAATCCACACCAGTCCCCTTTGAATTCAGATATTCTCTCATTTCTCTAAAAACGTGACTATCTTCACGGAAATGGCCTTCATTATTCTCAATCACATTTTCATCGCACTTTAACTAATAAATAATTGTTAAGAACAATGCTAGAACTTAAAATAAATATTACCCACTTCGATCATTAAAATCAGCCTGTTACAAATAAACAGTTTTTGAACGAGTAGAAACCCTTGAATAATTTACTGTAGTTGTAATCACATAGAAACAAATAAAAAAATGTATAAATGTTCGTGTTTAATATACTGGTGAAACAAAATCTTTTTCTATAAACTAAGTTTTTTGTATGATAGAAATAAAGGACAAATAAATACATTTATCTTGAACTTTGGTCATGATTTTTCACTCATGGACCCGATATTTGACTCCTTGTTATCCATTAGATTTTTTTACTGATTTCATCTCCAAATGAGCATTATTATTTGAACTGCAATTTTAGAATGATCCTAATTGTTACCATAAAATAGAGACAGATTAAAGGGGATTTGTAGAGTTGGTAACCTAAATAAAAAAGAGATGGCTAAAAATAATCAGTGCTAAACTGAAAGATAGACGTATGGTGGGTAGATGGAGATTTTTTGTCTGATCGTCAGGATTTTTAACGAGATTCAATGAAGGGATATATAAAAGTAAATATTGTTGGTGTCATCGGTATCCAATCTATGCGTTATCTGGGTATTATTATTACTTTTTTGAGTAGTACTGCCTTATTTAAATAAAAATATATAACATTTTTAAAAATATAAATTTTTTTTACAATATAGAAACATTTTTTTTTTTGGTCCTCCCCTTGCTCGCCTTTTAGGCTATACGGGTTTTTTTCCCGGACCAGGAGTGAGGGCGGGAGATTAATGTTTGAGTTAAATAAACCTCCCCCTTCCGGTACCGGGCCGCAAACTCGTACTTACTATATCAAATTACGATACAGAACGATTTTATTCTTTTATATTTACATGCCTAAAATATAAATTCATATTATAGTAGGGATTTAACAGTAGCAGCGCCGATTTGAATCCGTCCTGAGCGAGTTGAAATTTATTTTCTGGAGTAATCAACTAACAAATCTCCACCTTCTCATTCTACCTAGAACAGGTTGCTTACCTGTAGGATAACAGTCTTTCCTGTCATAGTTGGAGAACATAAACACCAAATAAACAATCCAAACAAATATAGAATATATTCATTCTCCTTGATTATTTGTTGTGGCCATTTATTCAGTCATCCAAACCTCTTGCAAAATACTATTCATAAGAAACTTTTATAAATTTTCTAGGAATTTTTTATTTTAAACTGTAAGAGAATAACTTTCTTGGTTATAAAAAACTATTAATAAACACATTAGTAGAATGTGTTTGTTTAAATGAAAATCTTCTAAATTGATAAACAATTTTTCATACTAATTTTTTGTTTGTTTTTTTTTGTTCCTAAGTCGACAATTATTAAATGACAGCACGATGCATAATCAAGTATGATTTACCAGTAAATAATATGTTTGCAGGCATAGTTGATCAATATTAGGTATGATTATCGTAGTTTTGTTTGAATGTGATGAACTTCTTGGAAAACATTGGAAAAGTATGATCAAATTGATTGGTTTCTACTCACTCAGTAATGATAATTGGACCTAAAAGTTCAAATTACAAGGACTTGTTAATATGTGAACAACTGAACTTGTGTGAGATAAATTGTTTGTTTTGCTGACTAGCTCATAGGTTAAAGTCAGCTATTTAACCACTGAGTGAATTGAAAAATAAGCATTACAATAATTTGTCCCGGTAAGTTAACATCACAATGCATTGTGAGTCTATTCGTATACAGTTCTAAATGTGTAATGTAAACCTATTTAAATTTATTTCTTTTAGTTTTTATTTAACAAAATTCATACATTGGAATATAGTAAAATTTAGATTAGTGTTTGACTAAATATGTTTAAAAATTGACCAGGATTACCTGAAGAAGACAAATAATAAAAAAGGATAATATATTTTTCCCAAAAAATTAAGTTGATTACAGAGAGACAAAATATTGTTCACATTTTCTATTGGTACATTATAAAGTTATTTAGAAGTTTATTTGTAAATAACTTTTAATTTACAGCTTTACTTGTAAATAATTTGTATTCTCTTTTCACAATAACACTTCTTATGTAAGATTTATTTTCATTAATTAATCTCTAGTGGTATTTTATATAATTAAATTAACTTAATAGAAATAAAAATAAATTATCTAGCCATGTCTTTCACATACTATAAACTACTAAAATCTAACAATTTGATAATAAATAATTATATAAAAATATAGCTGTAGCTTTTAAAATTAAAAAAAAAATAATAATAATTTCTTAAAGTTAACTGCTAATTTCCTATTAAAGAAAAAAAAAATCTGCTTTTATTATAATTAGATGATATAATTCAACAGTTTTTTTTTTCTCAAAGTTTTTTTTTTCTGTATTTAGAAGAATACAGAAAGCTATTGATTTGTTAAATGTAATTAGCTTGAGAGATTATGCTTACTAATAAAATAATATTTATTAATTCTCATTTACCAAATTTAAATTAATATAAATAAATAAATAAAACTCAACTAACCTTTTAAAATGTGAATCAGTAGACAAGTAGATGGAAGCAATGGTTTCTTACAAATTATGTAAGCAGCCAATTTTATTACTCCATAAAATTTCTTCTAATTTGAGAAATGATTTCATATATCTAGATAATACGGAAATAAAAATAAATAGATATATATTAATTATGTCTTTCCTAGTTAAAATAATAAATTGTAACATTTGCTATCTCACATTCAGACAGTTTTTACATGTTACATGTTTAGATGCATTTATACATTTCACAATCTATGGGGAAAAAAAATATTTAATTGGTTGTTTCTTTATGCTAGTGTATTTGTTTCTTGTTTTTGATGTTTTCCATCTGCTGTTGGTAACAAGAGAAATAAAAAAAGTTTGGCTTAGGGCTAATGTCGCTGTTAGTTAAGTTAGATAATAGTGTTTTCCATAGTTTGTGAAATGTCTAAAAGCAACTCTATACTTAACCAATGCCAATCTAAAGTTTTAGATAATCAAAGATTCAGAATTAAAAAGAATATAATATAAAAAAAAAACAAATTAAAAGTAAACACATGATATTACTTTTTATATTTTGCCGCCTTTTCTGCCCAAAGTTAAAGTTAATATATTTTTAATTTGCCCAAAATTGTATTATTGATACAGAAATTTAATAATATTAGCAACTATAAATTTATTTTCATTGATTTGACAATAATAATATTTTATTTATCCTGAGACAAATCCCCTTAGAATAATATATAGACATAGAAAAGTGGAGTAAAAAGTAGAGGAAGTAAAGTAAAGGAAAAGTTGAGGCTTTGGAGCCTCAGAGAATAAAAACAAAAAAAATAGACATAATACATTTTAAAAAGTATAAGTTACCTTCTGGCTTTAATAAATTATGAAAAAAAAAATTGAAATAAAAATATTTAAAAGGAACTAATAATTTATATACATATTTACAACATCTATTTACAAATTTATGGGGACTGAACGGATAAGTGATAATTGAACAGGCAGGATTTAAAGGTGTTAAATACTAAAAAAAAAAAAAAAATAAAAAATAACTAATATGTAATTTTTAATTAAATGATATCAATTTAGTATATTGTTTTAACTTCATATTATAGGATTTTAACAAAATGGAATTGCCATGGAACAGAAAAAATTTAGCAGATGTATGGACATGGCCACATATATTTTGGTTGAATGTTTTTGGCTGGTGGGGAGAAGAGGCTGAAACGGAATTTGGAAGGAAATGGCTGACCAGATTTAGGTCTCTCTCAATAGTGTACTTTGCATGCCTTTTAAATTCCATGATGATCCAGGTATTTATTAAGTTTGCTGAAGGTGATATCATGCAGAACCTTTTTACCATATTCGCATCTGGTCCTGGAATGGTTGGAATATTCAAATTTTTTGACCTTGTTATACATCGAAAAGTTCTCAAATCTGTTATGGACAGACTTTCTGGTGAGAAAATTAGATTTTAAAATTTTAAAATCTACTAGAAATATTTTAAGACTTATTACAAATTTATGGCACTATTATTAGTATCTAAATTTCATACAAAGAGCAAAATAAATAATTTTTTCTACAAATACACTAATTTTTCTATTCCTCGTTTCAGGGTTGATATCGGAAGTTAATGATCCTATTTTAAACGTTAAGGCAAGAAAATCTCTCAAACAGACATGGATCATCTTTTTGTTAACATTATTAGTATTTGATTCAGTAGTATTACACTGGGCATTAAGGCCTATTCTTGCAGCCATTTTACACAACGAGAAGACTAGAATAATAGAAAGTTGGCCTGTTTTCCTTGATGATTGGACACAATTCTTCCTGTCATATCTGTTTCAAGTACCCGGAGTCATAATACTCGGTCATAGTTTCTACATTTATGACAATTTGTATTTTTGTACTTCAGATGTGATTCTCTGTCATTTAAACATTTTAAAACTCAAACTGAACAGACTTGTATTAAATGATGGTGAAAAATCAACAAGAGAGCTTGTTTCATGTGTAAAATATCACGCGACTATTCTGAGGTATTATTTTACTTGTAAAGGTCTTATTAGTTCTTTTTTTTTATACTGAGTCATAAAAAGTAGCCATCTTGAAGAATCAATCAGAAATCCTTTTATAACTTTAGCATACTTCAATTTATTGGAGTAATTCATCATTCATTCACCTCTAAATTTTATTGAATATCCAAAGAAATCGCTTTAAAAATTAAGATACTTTCAAAAGGAAGAACATGAAAATACAGCTCAAGATTTCATTTAAATCTTACTCCATTGGTCAATGCTAGATTAATTATAAGGAATAATAAGGAGAATTTATTTCTTTTTTAATTTTATTTAGTACTTATTTTTTGTGGTATCTGTTTGTTATTTTTTTTTTTTTTTTATTTCTTTATGACATTTACAACTGTATTACATAAATACATCAAGTAAATTTGGACATAATTGATATAATGAAATGAATACACTTGCTGAGTAACTACCCAATGCTAGCACTCTAATGTTTGTTATTAAAGTCTCAAACTGCTTCATATAAACTCTGTTTGTTTTATATATTTTTTTCAATATCTAATATTGAATAAAAATCAACAGATATTAATAAATTATTATTTGAAAGCAGATAGAATAATAAAAGGTGGCTACTTTTATTACGAGGAGTGTATCCAGAGAAGGACAAGGCGGGAAACATGCTCCCTTCCAACATGGAAAAACTTTAAAACTAAGTTGCCAAAAATATGAAAAATGAATTTCTAAAAAATTGACTAGAAAAGCAAAAGCAACTGGTTGCTAGTTTGTATTTCTACATTCTGAAAGATATTAATTATAAAATAAAAACTAATTTCCCTCTCCAAATTAAAGTAATTGCCCATCCTTTTAAATAATTCTCCGTACTTTTAGGTACACTCTTGTTTATGCCCTATGAGAGTATTAGTTGGACACAGCTATGTTAATTTAATTTTTTTTTTTTTTCCCCAAGTGTCTGTAATGACTTCAGGGATGCTACATCAAAAGTTATCATCTGGCAGTCTATAAACACCGTTATCATGCTTTGTACTGGAATTTTCATTTTAACATACCTGGTAAATAAATTAGCTAATGTGTTTTATATCAAATTATTGATAAAATAGTCTTTATTTTTATTAGGGAAAAGAAATAAATTCAAATGCATTGATGAATTTAGGAGAAGTGTCTATCACATTATTTATTTGTCTATATTATTACTGTTGGTTCAGCAATGAAATAACATTACAGGTGAGTTTATACATAATCACATATTTAACATCAAGTAACTATGATAGAGAAAACATAGATATTCCTAAAAAAAAATTTTTGGAAATATTATAATGATAGTTAATTAAAATATAATAGTGTTTCCTATATATCAAATAAAAAGGTGATTTTTTAAAATATATCAATCTATAGTTATCTTTCCCTATAAGCAACCTTCAATTCCTTAAACAAGTGATTTTTTTATAAGAATTTAATTAGTATGGAATAATGAAAAAATAAATAAAAAAAGTTTTGAAAAAAAAAACTTAAAGATTCAAGATATATGATGATAGTACAATATATTGTATAAAAATGTCTCAAGTAAAACAAAAGCTATTTTTACAGTTCCAAAAAAACTTAGATGGCTAATGAGAGACATATTTACCAAGTTTCATATCAAATTCGGACCCATCCAATCAAAAGTATTGGTGAACCTCCCATTGAGAAGAGAATACTTATTTACTTTTAAGTTATTTCAATTTAGCAAATGAGAAACAGGAGTAACAATCTTTATTAATATCAGATCAATTATTCATGAATATTGCACAAGTATCACTTCGTGAATTTTGTTTTTTATTTTTAGGTAAATAAACATACTCTAAAATAAAATGCATAACTCAATAAAATTCAAGTGATAGATCTCATAAATGAAAAAATATATAAAAATATTATCTCACAATATTATCCCTAAAAAAATAAAAATATTATATCCATTTCATTATTTTTTCACTATGAAAGAACAACAGATTGGACACCAAATGATATATTCAAATAAATATTAAGTTTATTTTATGTTATTTATAATTTTTTTATCTGAAACTTGACGTATTTATTATATTAAAACTTATGTACAATAGTGCACCAATGTATCAAATGCAATGTATATGACTAACTGGATAGATGCAAAAGTATCTGATAAAAAAACCATGTTGATCACAATGGCACGGGCAATGAATCCTGTATTATTTGGAGGAATATTGGAGATAAACCTTGGCACCTTTATCAATGTGAGTTTTCATCATAAATGATATGAGTAGGTAGCTTTAAATTGTTTTAATATAAATTTTCTTTTTTAGGTTTTAAAAACCACATTTTCATTTTACAATTTTCTAAGAGCTGTTCAAGTAAGTTCTACGAAAAATGATTAAAACATATATAAACATTTATAGTTATTTACATGCGCCAATTCAATCAGTTAATCACTAGATGAAGATGAAATGAGGAACACAGTATTGTAGTTTAGTGAAAAAATAAATGTTGCAAAAAAATTGGAAAATCTTTTAAATATCTCCCCCCCCTCTTCCCATTTGCTGCTGATGAACAAAAATAACTTTCTATGATAATGTTTTATGTTTATATACCAATATTAGGGTGTATAAAAAAAATGACCGTTTTAATAATTTCGAGATTTCAAAGGACTGTAAATATTTTAATCCTATTTAATACTTACCAATACTTAATAATCCCTTTAGAGCATTCTCTAAGCTTGTTTAATCCCATTCGATTTCTTTAAAAAAAGCAACAGTTTAGTTATTTGTTTCAAAGAAGAAACATGAGTGTCCTACGAAATTCTCGTAATTTTCAGCCATTACTGGAAAACAAATTTCACAGCAGCTGAAGTAACTCCTAAAATTATTAAATATGAAGGGGAAGGTGTCCTTGACCAGTGCACTGCGCAGTGTTAGTTTGAAAAATTTAGCAGTGGAGATACAACTTGGAAAGGAAGAAGGGCTCCGTGTAGCCATTAATAGGTATTGATGAGGTTCTGCAGGAAGCTGTTGAGCTATACTCACGAACTTGCCACGAAGTGTGGTATGTCAAAAGATACTGTTAGTCGCCATCTACTCTCCATGGAAAAGGTGAAAAAGAGCAATAGACTGGTCCCTCATGAACTTACTCCTCAACAATCACCTAAGAGGTTAGAAATTTGTGAAAATTTATTGAAAAACCCTTTTGATATGAGACTCCTGCCTCATCCACCATATAGTCCAGACCTCACACCATCAGATTACTACTTATTTAGATCCATGACCCATTTTATTCAAGGGAAAAAAATTGATAATTTTGCAGAAGTTGAAATTGCAATCGAAGAGTTCTTTGACAGCCATTCAAAAGAATGGTATCAGGGAGGGATCGAGCAATTGGCTAGCAGATGGCTAATGGCAGTAGATAACAATGGACTATAGTTTGAGTCATGGGCGGATCTACAGGGGGAGCTTTCGGGCTGAAGCTCCCCCCCCCCCAATAATGGTAAAATATAACCATGTTTTATCGAAAAAAAAGTATCTCTTAAAGTATTATTGTTCGTGTGATTAATATTAAAACGGCTTTAGGAATCACTTAAACACCATTTGATACAGGTAGTTAGTTTCTTTCTTTTTTTCCAAAGTAATTATCGTTACTTTTGTGAAAAAAAAAGCTTTCGGGCTGAAGCCCCCCCCAAAATTAAATCTTGGATCTACTAGTGGTTTGAGTACTAATTGCATTTCATATCAAAGAAATAATAATATAAATATTTGGTGAAAAACAGTCATTTTTTTTTATACACCCTATTATATATATAAATGTATGTGTAATTTATTCTACCTTAAATAGATGTTCTAATATTCAGCTTTGAAAAAAATAAATAAAATAAAGAGAGAGAAACATCCAATCAAAAATAAAATCTGTATTATTCCAATGTTTTAAGAAATCATTTCAATTTTTTTTTCTTCTATTTTTCTATCTAAATTTCTAAATATATTTGTGTACAGTTTGAGGATTTATGGATCTTTTAACATGATACTCAATGTCTTCAATTAATTTAAATAAATATACTTTTAAATTGCTATCTTCTCCTAAATTGATTGTTTTGGATATATTGAACCATCCATCACTCAAAATCAAATTGCTTGCATTAGAACTTACCCAAACTAACACAACTAAATTATTTAAGCAGATGCAGGTGTATTATTAGTATTTCATTGAGAGTGTGATATGTAAAGGATATTGTTAGTTCATAAAGATGTATTCATTCAAATTTAATGGTTTTAATGAAAAACAAACTAAAAATATTAATAATGATATGGAGATGGATGGCCATAGATTCTAATTTCAAAAGTTAGTCGGGGGAGGGGAGGATGCGGAAAAAAAATGCTATATTATATAATATTATATTCTTTATAAAAATTTAAGAAAAAAAAATATAGACAACTCCTTATACAGAAACCTTACAAACATGACCTCTTTATCAAATTCCTTAAAATATAGCCCACATTTATAAATACATGTCAAAACCCACCTTCTTTAAGTGTGTTTAATAATTTAATCAACAGCTTAGACCAATGCAACTGAAGAAGACTTAGAACGTAGGTCAAAACATTGGACGATGCAATAAATATACTATTATATAATTTAGTATTTTTGACTGCACCGCCACGACTAATTTCTTCTGAAAATAAAAATATTAATATTAATTAATTAAATAATAGTTACTATAATTATAGAGGAAATAGACTATGTTAATAAAGATATTTCTAATGAGATAAAAACCTTTTTATTAAAATATAACTTTGCTATAAAATGTACATATCTAACTAATATTAAACTTGCATTACTACAAGAGTGAAGAATCATTATCAACCAACCGAAATTAACTGGAAAACTTGTAGAAAATTTCTTAAACGAAGATAAAGCTAGCCCATCATCTTACCAATAAGTGCTAGTATTCAATAATGTCTAGAACTTAATGAAATGAAGTTTTCTGTTACTTTATGAATTATATAAGAAGGTAAAAATTTTAACAAAGTAACAGTTTGTTACAGTAAATATTAAAATATTTATTCAAAGGTCATAATGAAATTTCTTACCAAATAAGTCCATGATAAATGACTAATCATCCCATTTATGCAAAAGTATGTTTAATGTGAAAATTGCTTAAACCAATGTAATTTGGCGGATTCCTCTTTTTTTTTACTAAATTAGTTCTATAAGCACAAACAGATAGCAGCACAAGTTATGTGAATCGCGAGTCGAGATAAAACCTTGAAATAACCTCTCCACTTCTAGACACATGGGTTTGTTTACCATAGTTGTTAAATATTGTGTTTACCTATAACAAGCCAAATTTTTGTAAAATAGCACTGTTTTGCAAAGAATTAAAGTAAAGTTTAGTGGTTTCGAAATGAATTCTGAAGGGAAAGTTTGTACTTATTGTGATTCAGTTCCCAAATACAAATGTCCAAATTGTTTCATTCCATAGTAAGATATCTTTAATGCATTTTTCGTTATTTATTTTTTTCCTTCAATTAATTCAGATTATTTTTAGTTGTTCTGTCAAATGTTGTCAACAACACAAACTGGAAAATTGCATCAAGCCACCTCCTCCAGAAGAGAATAATAAAATTACTGAAAAACAAAACATTTCTTATCCCACAGAAGACACCTTGCCATTAGAAAAACTACAGCAACTCAGTAAGTTTATTATTTTGGGGTTTATTCTAAATGCATGTTTATTAATATTCTATTAAAAGTAATTATGTTGGCAGCTTGGTGGATCTGACTAGTTATGGGTAATAATGGACTGATGATTTAAAAAAATTGTAAAGGTACTATTTCGCTGGTGCGGTCCACGACAGCGACCGCTATTCCACGCTGCCAACCGCTGTTGGCGTAGCTATTTCGCTAAAACTGCTCACTGGGGTTGTTATAACCTGCCTTCGAACATTTCGCTGTATCTTCGAAGATAAAAAGATGGACATCCTATAATAATAAAAACAAACATCCTATAATAATGAACATCTCTGACTACCGCTTTTTATTTGAGGAGGAAAAAGAAAAGAAAATGTTATTCATAAAGAGAAGGAATATCACTATTTCGATGAGATGCTCATCATCAAATCCCTTCTTGGACATTGTTTGCTGTTGCCTAGATGAACAACCAAAAAAGAACAAAAAGGCGGAAAACAGTGTATTAACAACAATAGTCCCTCTGATATTAGATACTAATAATTTGAAAAGTAATATTAATTAATACATAATTGACTAGAAATAAATATCATATATTTGTAATTAAATGACAGCAGGTGATGTTTTATAGTTTTATGAATAGTATTCTGTAAATCACCACATTAATTAAAAAATACAAATCGATTTTTGATGGGTGGATTTTAGTATTTACCTGGCGATAAAATTTGTTGGATTCTTTAATTTATTTAATATCGTTTGGATTGAAGTATATTTGTATTTCGCTGTAAAATATTGCTGGTGGAATAAATAAATAATCTTGTTACTTCAACCTTAAAACAATAATTTACTATTACATTATTTAAGTTTTCAACAATATTTGTTATAATTTTGCCAGACTTGGAAGAAACATAGGAAATAAAACGTATCGACGTGACTGTTATCATCAAAACAATGCTCTGATATGATAACATAGCCTACAACCACCAACAGCTCCACTGCTTCAAGAGGAGTCAGATGAGCAGCTTAGATATGACGTCATACCTAGACTGCCGAGCAGCGCCAGCGAAATAGGTTCCTTTCTATTCCACTAAAGCAGTGGTCAACCGCAAGCAGTCGCGGTCGTGGACTGCGCCAGCGAAATAGTACCTTAAGACAGAAGTTTATAGTTATTAAATCTTATCTTACTGATTCATATTGCTAAAGGAAATATTATTTATGAAATAATTAATTTTCTGGTACTACAATACAAATGTCTCTCCACTTTCATCAGTGATAAAAGATCTCATGAACAATCCATAAATGAAATTGCGAGATTGGGTGCGTGTGTTCGAATATTGACAGACTTGTCTGGTAAAGCTCCATCCTCAACTAAAATCTCTTGGGGATTTGTTTATTCCTTTAGAGCGAGCACAGCAAGCTTGGATTCAGAAAGTTATATAATTAAAACTAATTAATGTAACTAGTTAAAATCAGAACTCAAAAGAACCAGGAAGTTAGCCGAAGTTGTAAATCGTAATCTTAACATAAGAAATTTATACAGTGAACCCCTCGCCTATTCTTGGAATACCTTTTATACCGTCAACATGAGATCTTGACCAACTGGAAAAGGTGGAGTGACTTTTGTACTATTATTATTCATCTCATAATTTTTGCATTGTTTTAACTTTTTTTTTTAGAGAACAGTGGAAGTGTCAAAGAATGTCTCAAGAATCCTCATTTGAGGCATATTATGACTATGATTGATAAATCCAGTAATCCCACAGATTTGATTGCTCAAGCCATGATGGAACCTATATTTGTTGAATTTGCTACTGAATGCTTGAAAGTCGTCCAACCTCCAGATCAGTCAGAAGTTTATTCATCAGATGAAGATTAATTTACTTTGTACATTTGTATGTATATATTTGTAAATTTATATTGTATAGACGATTTACTAATTTTGTATATTTATTATAATTGTAAATACTGATCTTATTACTTCTTTAAAAGTTTGCTTTTATTTTTTATGAATATATTGACTGTAGACAAACAGATATAATTATTACCTTAATTTTACAAATTGATATTATTGACTGCATCAACTAGTGGTTGTTTGGAACCAAAATAGTTTTTATTCCTGAAAAGTTATTCCTCATAAAAAGGGCTGGTTCAAGTTGCACACACTTTGTCAAAAAGACAAATTGATATTTTATTGAGGTTAAACTACAATGGTAGGTTAATATTTTGCAAATTTTAATTTCATTTATTTACTTACCCAAACTTTAGGTTTTAAATTAATATAGATTAACTTTTGGATTTGAGTTTTATTGCAAAATAAAAAATGTTATTTTCTCTTAGAAGTTCTTAATTCATGAAAAATATGCAATAAGTAGAGTAAATAATCAATTATAAAAACTACATAATAAATTAAGACTTTATTAACTTCATAACACAAATATATTCTAGATATATAGGAACAACTTTTTTATATATTATGAATATCTTATAAAATAAAGCTTTTACAATTACAGTATAAAGTACATTTAATTTAAAAATAGTAATGCAATTTGAGTAGTATTGAAATCATCCAAATAGATTTCGTCATTAACTTTTTTTTCTAATGAGTCCTTAATACTTTCTTCAAATATTATTTTATGTATGTCCTCTAAATTATCTTCGAGAGTCAAATCCTTTTGGCCCATTGCTAATAATATCTAGAATATATATGTAATCAGAATCAAAGAAAAAATAGAGAAGAAGCATTTGATACTAATACATCTACTGATGGACTTCAATGGACATGCAAGTTACAGAAGTGCTTTCTCTCACTGACAATGTATCTCCACAAAGAAAAACAAAATTATATACTTTCTTGTGGCTGTCATAATTCTGTTTTAAGATACTTATGGTAGAAATGGAAATACAGCCGGTTGCACTTTTCCCTTCATGTATTAGTACTTTTTACTCAGATTGCCTGGTTTTTCCATTTTGTATAGATTAAATAATAACTCTTTTTCATTCATAATCTATTTAAAATTATTCTCTGTGATAAACAAAGTGATTAATGGATGTTTAATCTTAGGTATTAATATTAAGATATAGACATTAGAATGAATGTTTAATCTTAGGTATTAATATTAAGTTATAGACATTAGACATAAGAATAAGCTGTTAGAGGAATATTTACTTATTCATAATAATTACAAATTGATTACACAATTAAAATAAAACAAAAATACGTTTATTCTTATATTTATACAACATAAATAAATAAAATAATATATTTTATTTTCATTGAAAATAATATCTATAATTAATAAGCAAAGAATTTTAATTCTTTAAGTATAAAGTTATATTTATTTTACATAATTATTCTTATGTAATAAAATAATACTTAGTAAAAATTTAATATTTCTAGTAAAGTTTATTTTAAAAAACAAAATTGAAAAACACTGTTTTTAAGAACTGCTGGTAGTTGTGCTAACAAAAATTTGATTCAATATAAATTTTAAAAAATGACAAGATTATTTCCTTATATCTTTGTACATAAAATCAATTAATAAAAATCCAACTACCCAATTGTTATAAATTCACAAAAAATATCTAGTTGTATTAATAACAAATAAAGTATTGAATCAGGCTGTTCTTTTCAGAGATAATGTTTGATCAGCTCTCACAAATAGATTTAGTTAGTGGGGAATCCTTTGTAGTGTCGATAAGCATGGTAAGCGTCAACAGCGTGTGTTATTCCTAAAGCGAATCCTATCGTCTATAAACAAAATAAAAGGAATACAATTATTTAATTATTAATCTATGATATTGTCTAGAAGATATACTAACTAAAATTATTTATTAATTCATTGTAAATTATTTAATAACTTTACTAAATTAATCCGTTACTGGACACCTGTTTCATGATTAAGGGGTAACAACTTCTGATTTTGTAGTTTTCATCATCCATAATTTCTGAAATATTGTACTTACTGATGTAGGATAAAATAAAAACCATGATATTGAAAAAGCTGTGAAATTTTAGAATATTACCAATTTGACAGTATAATAATGGCTGGTAATAAAGCCTACTACACAACCTTGAAACTTTTCCAGTCCCACTACTAACTGATATAATAAAATTAATGTATAAATCTCTTATAAGACCAATTATTAACTATGGTCAGCATGAACTGCCAATGTTTGTAACCTGAATACTGATAATCCCTATCTTCATATGAAATTAAAAAAAAAAAATGTATTAATAACAAAACACTTTTATTTTACAACATATATATGAAATAGACAAAAACAAATGTCATATTTATCGAAGTTGAAATAGATAAATGAAATGTAAAAATAACAAAACACTTTGATTTGAAATAGACAAAAAGAAATACTATAATGTAATAATAAAAAATATAAATAACAAAACACTTCTTGCCTTTCTGTCTTTTATTTTTATGATGAAACGCTCGTCTGTTTCTCTACAAACATCCATTGTGGAGGGAGAACTCTCTACATGATTTTTTCTTTTAGAAAAAATACTCATCTACTTCAATGACTTTCCCAGGCCCTCCAATTTTCTTAGTTGGTCTGTAAAGCATGTTATGGACACAAACCTCAATTAAAAATTGTTCCCACATTATGATACATCTGTTCACTAGTTTCAGCTGCTCTATGCTCCACTGTAGTGTTGTTTAATTATGAGATACTTCTTAACTAGCAGGCTGGGACTGAATGCTATCTGCCAATGTTTATAATCTGAACACTGATAATTCCAATAAGGCAGTGATGAGCCTTCTGGTAATTCCTATCTTTGTTTTATTGTATTATATTTGTATTGTTGAAAGTGTAAACAGAAACAAAAACAAATGTAATAACAAAAAAAAAACTTTTATTTTACGACACATATTAATGAAATAATAAAAAAATACTTAAAGAACATATGTACATATAAAAGAAAAAATATCAACACTATAAACGACATGTGTACAATTTATTTTCACTTTGCCTTATTTATTTTGTTACACAAAATAGTTTTCTTTGTAAACCAGCCACAAAAATTCGCATAAGTATGAATCGAGGTGTTGTGTGGCAGTTCCTCTATGTATTTTATTTCTCCACTTAGCTGAGCCCTATAATCGTTCTATTTGTTGAGTATGAACCCCAGTTGATGGATCGACAAAATTATACCATTGATTCACTTGGAAATGGTCATAGTTTGCTTCATTCAGTTGTCGGGTGTTGCATCCTTTCCAACAGTCCGAATAAATGGTCGTACCCTCTTCTATATTGTCTTTAATTGCTTGTAATAAGGTTGTTGCCTTTTAATTTAATAATTGAACGTAATAAGGGAATAACTGAAAAATAAAAAATGTAAAAACTGAAAGGTTTAGTGGGATAAGAAGAGGGAGGTTATTTGACCTGATCTTAGATACCATAAATAAGAAGAGAGGTTTCGACCCGGCCTGCTAGTGAAGTAGTACCGCGGTTAAAAAGGTAATCTCCGACCCTCCTAACCATGTTCTTTTACTTATAGATTTTTGTTATAAGTCATACGAAAGCATCTCCATTTCGTCTTCCCGTTGAACTTCATTTCATGATCTTTACAATATTTCACCTTGTCAATTATCTCTGTCTTGAAAATATTTGATAGCCTCTTCTTCTGAAGACGGCAATCCCGACAATGTAATAACATCCATTTCAACAATAAACAATAACTCACGGGAGAAAAAAAGGCAAGTTATGTGATGTAAGATAAAAAAAGGAGGGAGGTTTACTGCAGACTGGATTGTTCACAAGTACCTAGTAATTTAATGATACTAATTTATTTCCTAGATAGAATTGTAAATAAAATATAAGATTGAGATAATCACTAAAATTTAATAAATGAGCTAATAAGAAAAGGATAAGAAATAATTTTCAATCTTAAAATTTATTAGATTGTAATCACAAAATACAAAAATATTATATGTAAGTGTACAAACATTACAAATGTTCCAAGATTGCTTTTTAACATGGATAATAAGAATTCTTCAGATGCTTTTAAAAATACTACCAATATTGCTCCTGAATAGGATTTAAGTATACAAAATTATGACTTTGAGATCGATTGAAAAAAAATTAATAAATAAATAAAACATACGCTTCATTTAAAAAATCACTATATAATACATATATATATGAATACTTCTATAGTATAATTCTACAATAAACTGAGATTCAAACTTGAACACACAGTTACAAAATGAATATTTTTTATAAATAATTATCAGCACCTTTCATTACAAACTAAGTATCATACAACCATTAATTAAAAAAAAAATGAATAATAATAAGTACAAACCTTCACTCAAAAGAAAAAAAATCATTATTTTAGTAAATTTGATATACTAATTTCAATGAAAGAAAATCACTTTATGTACAAGAATATAATAAAAATATTCCATGAATATGACAAGACTCAGTTTTAAAGGAAAGATAAACTAAAAAAAATAACTACTGCAAAAAAAGAAGATAACCCATGTCTTGCACATGAATTGTTCAACTGAAACACACTACGTTATAAGTAGATAGAACTGGAACAACTCCATATATCTAGAATAAATATAATACAATAGGCATTTCTGAAATAAACTTGAATGGAAGGAAAACTTAGGAACATGGTTTCCATCATCTGAAATAAATTTGCCTTCTATAACTTGAATGAACATGCATTCGAAAAACTATAAACTAAAGCAATTGCATCACAGTTCACAGAGGAAATGTTGGCTCCAACTTCATGCTATTGACAGACTTTGTGATTAATTCCAAGGATTCATCTTCTGTTTCTTCAAATGTTTTTTTCCATAACTGCTCATCAGCAATCAGTAACTTTTCTATAGGAAAACAATGAACAGCCATATCGTTGAAAACATCTGAGTATTTGAATGTATTCGTTATTTCAATTTCTACCATTGAAGGGCCTATAAAAAACAGGTAAGGTAGAAGCTTTTGAAGCACTCTATTTGGACTACCCGCCATTATTTCTGAGAATCTATTCGCAATTATCACACAATTGTGCAGACTCAAACCCCAATTAGCACAGATGATATTATTGAAAAGCTTATTTGGGCAATGTGGTAAGAAAAACAAAGTAGTTTTATCCACTTTACGTTTTCCTTTTTCATTATATGTTATTAGATTACATTTTTCTGTCATGAGTATGTCTTCTTCAAGCTCTTTGAACTGAGGATCATACACCATCACTTCACAATTGTAACATTGCTGGAGAGCCAAAAGTAGTGCAAGTTGATATAATGCTATCTTACATTCAGAAAAATTCCCTAGGCCATAGCACACAATATCTTCAATATGGTTCTTGCTTAAATGTGTTAGAGATTGTTCAATAGATGATTTGGTAGCAGCAAATATATCTGTTGTAATGATCTCATGCTTTGCATTCATTATCTTCTGAGTTAATCTATCACGATATGAGGTGGACAAAACATCGTACATGATAAAATATTCTTCATGGTTCGATTTCTTCTTATGCTTCTTTTTCCTATACGAAACTAACGTGAAAGACATAATGATTAAAATTGTCACTAGCACTTCGATAACCTTCTCCTCTCCTTTGTTGATGGAGTCCAAAACAAAAATAGACCAAAGAGGTAGGAGAAAACATCAACCATCTGTCTACTTATTCAAGAGTTAAATGGAAAAGATGTTTCTATTAAAATTTTATCGTTTGGCGAATCACTATGTGAAACACTCAATAATTGGACAATTTTTGGTTTTTAATTTATGAAATGAGTAAGAATGAACTCACTCTTGTATTTGATAGTGGATTTTTAAATAATAAAATGTTCTCAATGACTTATTAAAGCACTATTTTTATGAAACAATAAATTAAAATACTTTATTTGAATATTTAATTTGTTTATTCAATTATATATTAATTTTTTTGATGATTTACTTCTACTTACATAAGCAGCAATCATTGCAGGGTAAGATATAAACCCCATAGTCACCAAATATACAGGATAAAGGTATACATTTACTGCTACTGCCAGGCATGTAGAAGCACTGAGATAAGAAAAAGCAGCGCTTAAATTGAAGACGATTTCCTATAAAAAGTTTATAAGAAATTAGTGAACATAAGTGATAATTAAAGTTACTTTAAAATTCATATTCTTACAAATATAGATGTCTTTATTAGGTGGTAGGTATTTTCCGATATAACATAGCACGTCAGCAGCAGAGTAACTCCAGAGGTAGCAGCAGCATTTGCTGATAGAAGGGAATAGAAAGACATACCAATTAATTGTGCTTGAGCGGGTCCGAAATTCATTAACATAGTCTGACACAAACCACCAAGAATCTAAAAGAGAAAATATATTTAAATGTATCCTTCAAAGAATTGTTGGAAACTCATATAAGTTTTATTTTTTATTAAATTAATATTAGTAGCATTTATGGAAGAAGGTAAATATACTTTAAATTAAAGTAAACCTTTTTCTATTAAATAAAAATCAAAAAAACCGATTATATTATCAACGTTTTGATTTATCTTTAACAAACAGAATACCTAATTTAATATAATATTATATTGATATAAATAAATTTAATACTTAAACATAACTTAAAAAACATGTAATTTTTTAACAAGGAAAAAATCATAAATAGAACTAATCACGTATTATAATGTACTATTAAATATTTAATACCAGAGACCTATAATACAGAAGGTACTTAGTTGCAGTATCGACAAGAGGGAGAGTAAATTTGATAAGATTGAGCAAATTGTTTTCAACCGGTCCTGTAAGAGCAGTTAGTCTCATATATACGAGTATATGTTAGTCTCATAAAGAATAATTCAGTTAAAATAATCAAGATAAATTTCATAGAATTCTCTAGAAGGTCAATTGTAATATTTAATCTAATATTTTAAAAGCTAAGAACAAACCATTTAAATTTAAGAATATCAATTTAAAAATATAAATAAATTTCAGTACGCATAGTCGGCATGCTGAATAGACGGGTCAACCATTTTGCTATCCCATTTCCTGTTAAATCAAAATAGTGCTTGGCATGTATCAATTCATGACTTTTGACGATCGAGTCAAATCATTTTCTTTGTTCGAAAAACTGAATACCTCTTAATGTAATTAGTCGAGTATATTTTAAAAAATATAATTCATTATAATTTAATGACGTGAAAAAAAAATTCAAAACTTTTATTCATCGAAATATATCTGTGATACCTTTGCATAGTTTGTTAAGAAACCATATTTATGGAAAAGCACAATTTAAAATTTTCGAAGGTGCAAATTCAATTTTCGAGTTTCAACCAATGATTCACAAATTCATAAAATCTCACTTGACACCATAGGTGCAGTCTTTCCATTCAGGTTGGGGAGAGGAGGAGGCGAGATCGCTCTCCTCGCCACACTTTTCACAGGCACGGGCGGATCTACGGGGGGGGGGGGAGGGGCTTTCGGGCTGAAGCCCTCCCTCCAAAATGGAAAATATAACCATGTTTTATGGGGAAAAAAAATTTAAAAATACCTCTTAAAGTATTATTGTTCGTGTAATTACATTTAAAAGTACTTAAGGAATAAGTTAAACACCATTTCATATAGCTAGTTAGTTTCTCTCTGTTTTTCCAAAGTAATTATCGTTATTTTTATGAAAAAAAGAGGTTTCGGGCTGAAGCCCCCTCCAAAATTAAATCCTGGATCCGCTAGTGTTCACAGGTACCACAGCTACACATGTAATCAAGCATTTAAAGTAAAAGTTAGATTGAGAGAGACACATCGAATCTTACACATTTTCTGATTAACGATGGATCAAAGAAAAAAAGTTAATTATCTGTTTTATAGGGGCTTCAGTCCGAACGTCTCTCCGCTTTGAATCAATTAGTGATCGAATTTAACGATAACCTAAACTATCGACTATAGCGTATCGATTCTTAAAAAGGTAAATTTCTCTTGACAGTACATCCCTTAATCGGGACGATTTCCGTCTTCCTGCTAACATCAAACCTTATAAAGTTAAAGAAAATATCGACACAGCGTACACAACAATTAATTTTTACACAAGCTTAAGGCTTCTAATAATCCTGACTTTGACTGATTCATGCAATGTATAACAGACAATAATTAGGTAGCTGAATAAAGACAACAAAAATTTGAAGTTGAAATTCAATAATATTCTTTGACAACAGTAAACAGATACAGTAATTTATATATATACATATATTATTTTATAATTATTCTTTTGTAGTAATAAACTCATGAATGAAATTAACTTGAAAAATACGGTTAAATACATAATATATCTTTGTATAAGTTAAAAATTCAATTGACATAAAATTAACTCACACGCCTTCACGATTACAATTGTTTATTCTTTAAATCAACAATTATATTATTACATGAAAATAAGTCAAAAGTTGAAACCATCAAATTCTAAATGAATGAAATTAAAAATTGAATTAATAACAAAATTACAGGCATTAGCTAATGTAAAATATTTATTAAATAAATCCTAGGAACAACTAAACATTAAATTCATGTTATTGATTACACTACAAAAACAAATAGCTGTTATTGTTAATTTCACGTTTAAATATGTTAGTAAAAAAACAAATTTATAATGCCAATTCTCTTACCATTTCTATAATCTTGAACATTCCATGAGATGAGTGCAAGAAGCCAAGATGTAAACACTTACAACATCCACAACCTATGCCAGAAGAACTTGCCACTTTGGTTCTCCTAACAGGTACATTCATGGTGGTTTTTTGAGCAACGTAAAAATTTACTTTATATAAAATTAAAAGTTTAAATAAAATATCAAAAACATAAGATTATGGATTATTATATCGAATCGATCATGTGCTAAGGGACATTGACTGTAGAACCACAAGCTGTCTGAGCTATTCTTGAGTACATGTCCCCTACCCTCCTTCCTCTATCATGAATCAAAATAGACTGAGTCTGGAAGTATTAGGGATAATTCCAGCTTTTCAATACTTTTTTAAGATTTAAAATATTTTATTAAACAATATTTAATGATATAAAAAATTAATAATTAGGTTGGATGAATTAGACTGCAGTCTAGAAACAAGCTTGACTGTTTCAACCCAGTAATAATGCTTGAAATGAATTTATTTATTGAATTGACAATAATATTTAGTAAACAATGGATTAAATGACTAACTCAGGAATCAGATAAGAAGTGAGGGATAATTTATTGTAATTCCAAATAATAAGTTTGGGATGGATTAGTTGGTGTCAAAATGTTATAAGAAACAGCTTGTTTATTTTTTATTATATTTAAGTTATTATTATTGGATTTATTTATTATAATGTAGTAAGTATTTTTATAATAATAAAATTCATTCTAAGTAAAATAAATTACTACCTAATTAATTTATTTGAATGTCATATTTTAAAAAATAATGTTTTCTAAACCTAAGGTTCAGTATTTAATCAAAAATCTCAAAAGAAATTATGAGAACTTAAAATTGAAATTTTAACTAAATAATTTTATTAATTAAAAAATACTTAAATTGTAGAAAAGGTATAAAGATGGCAATCAACCTAATGTCAGATTTAAAGAAATTACATTATTTTATTAATATTCAGGGACTTGTTTGAAGCAGCCAATCAATTTGAGAAAATATAAATTAATAAATAAAAAAAAAATGCTGAATAAAAATCAAAATAAAAAATAAAAAAATAAAATAAAAAAAAAATTTCACCCATCGCAAAAAAAATTATAAATGAAGTCGAAAGATTTTCTAATAAAAAAAAAAATCAATTTAATATTTAAGTTTAAATAGCAAAGTATTCGTATTTATTTATTGTTAGAATATTTAAAAACTTAAGTAATAAAATGTTGAAAATAATTTTCATTAGTTATCATTTTTTTAAAATATTTATTTATTAACACATTAATGTTAACTGAAACATATATATATATATATATATATATATATATATATATATATATATATATATATATATATATATATATATATATATACATATATATCATAGCTGATCTAAAAAAATTTGTTAAAATTGACTCTTTTCAATACCTTGAATATTTTCCTACCTACTGGTAAAAATATAAGTTTACTTCTTTTAAAACCTTATGCTTTTATAAAGATGAGACTGATAAATTGGTCTATTGGAATAATAATTTAAGATTTATATTATTATTTTATAATATTTTCATTTTTAACTTATTTAATAATGTTAAGAGGTATACCATCTACAGATCAAACATTTGTCATTTCTGACAGTTTTTAATGCCATTTTTCTGAACATTAGTTAAAATTTTAGTTTTTATGCAAATATTCTTTGAAACATTCTAATATGAAATATTTTGTTATTGAACTAAGGCATTACTTCTTTATTAATAGGTACATTAATTGACTAGCCTGTAATAAGAATAGAATTTCAAGGGATGTAAATGATATTTGAAAATTATTAAAAAATCTTTTACTTAAGAAAATAGCAAATACATTCACACAAAATTATAGCAGAAATATTCAAAATATTAAATATATACAAACGGTAAAACAACATAAAAATTAATAATATAAATAATAAAAACAAGATTTTCAAGATAACATTTTGAACTTCTGATTTATGTCCTAAATTACTTATTTAAAAAAGCAGCTATGAGCGTAAACGTCATCTAAGTAAATTTAAAACAATGATTGATTTTTCATAATAAAAATAGTAGTTTGATTCTAATATATAATGTGCACATTGTGTCAGAAAATGAGCAGGGCTGAAAAATTGTTTTATTCATTGACATTAAAATTAATAATTAACAAAATGATTACATGTTTAGATAGATCACATCTGTCAACTTCTCCTCACTAGATCTTTTTAAGGATGAAATAACTTTTAAGTAATTTTTGATCTATAGACTTGGTAGCTTAACAAGTAAGAATGTTTGGGAGCCATGGTTGGTTACATAAACAACTGACTGGGGTCTGACACAAAGCATATGGTATCTAAGTTACACAAGCATACATATTATCAATACAAAGTCTTAATTAACTTTAAGCATTCAATAAATACAGGAATCATAAATTAACATAATTATACAACTTTTAAAATATACAACAAACAGATTTAAACAATCAAGAACAACAACATAAAGCTTTAAGATTTGTGCAATAACATAGCAATAATTATGAACTTTTACGCAAATACCGGAGTGTTTGTGAATATATAACATTATAATCAACAATGCACCACTTCTCAACTATCTCTTTAGGAGCAGCCACAAAATTTACTACAGATAGAAGTTATTAACAGTCAACATTTATTTATTTAATTTTTCTTATTTATTATTACATTATTATTTAGCTTTTGTCAAAATAATTTCTGATAAAATGTCATGGAAGACAGTTGAAACCAAATGCATTTTTGGACCCTTAAATATTATATGCTTGTCATAAGTTATATATTCCAAATGTTATTTATACAAGAAACATTATATTAAAAACTACTTTTTTTCTGAAATTAGTAACATACAATATTTTACAATTAGGCAATTCCTTGTGATCCTTAATTGATAATAACTTAAATAGCAAAGCTTATATATTAATAAAGAGTTAAATATTGTAAGAACAATTACTTTTTATAATTTATTTTACAAGATCTACTAGAAAATATTTTTAAATATGACTTAAAGAAAATTGATTAGTTACTATTCGATCTTTAATAGAATACTTTGAAAATTAACAAACAAAATAATTTTTATCAAAGTGATTTTTACCAAATATGGGCACTTTTAAAATCAACAAAATGGAAATTTTATTTATTAACGGAATATTTTCTGAAAATATGAAATTGATAAACAGATTTGTGGTTTTAAAAAATGAGTATAGTTATTGCTTACAGTTCTATGTTGGCATAAGCATAAATGCACTGTGCATTAAATGTGCATTTAGAAATAATTGAAGTTTTACCCGTATTAGGCACAAAAACCGGTTATGATTTTAATACCAAAAATATTTTAATTCCTAAGATTTAGTTTTACGCAGCCTATAATGAAGTTTTTTCCACATGTTTTGTTAAACAAATTGATAAATAACTTTTGTCTAACTATAAATGTATACATTTATATGTATTTCTACATTCCCTGATGAAATACAAAAATATTATATTTGTTATTCAAAAGTTGATATTTCACACTTATAATTGTGATTTTTTTAATAATCTTTGTTTTTTCAGTATACTAAAAATAATTTTAAGTACAATAAACTTATACAAAAGAAAATATACAATGAGATATCATTTTTATGAGATGCAATATATTACTTAGGAATACAAAACAAATAAAAAAATATTAATACTTTTCCTATTATTAGTTTTGTTTTTATAACTGTACTATTGATATTTTTTGAGTATAGGTTTTTCATCTAAGGTAAAAAGCATTATTTTTGGGACCTTTACTTTTAATTTTTTTTTTTTTTTTTAAATCTGCAAGCACTTTTATCACATATTCTGGTTTCAGGTACAGAGATGCTTCCACATAAGAGAAATGGCCGGAGAATAAATATGCAGATATTGAAATTATGCAGATATTAGAAACTATGTAATTTTACTTTTAGACAGATTTCTTATACAATCTTCTTTAAATAGAATAATTACTCATAATATTTTAAAACATACAATGCAGAATTTAGAGCATTCATAAACTTCAAGCTGTTGCAAAATTGACCAGCACAAAAGTAGCTTCACAGGAACAGGGAACACTGTGATAAGCACAATATTTAAACAGTTTTTTTTTCTCTTTTTATATTTACAATCCTCTGTAAGACCTGAAGGCTAAAACTGTACTCAAGAAGTAGAGCACAGAGAGGATGAGACCCAAGATCTAAAAATTAAAAAAAAATATATATTTATAATGAATGAATTGTTAGAAATAATATGTACTTCACTTCAATATAAATATAAAGCTTATTGGCTATAAAAATTATAGTCTATATAAAATAAAAAACAACAAATATAATAAAAAAATAAATAATAATAAATATAATTCAAATATAAATAATAATAAACAAAAATCCAGTTCTGAATCTACCACAGGTAACAGAGGTTTTGATGTATGCCTGGTTTAAAATTTATCTGTAATATCCAAGGCACAAGAATGTATTTAAATATATTAAATAATACTGATTTACAATTTATATAAAATAAAGGGTGTACAATGAATAAATAAATTTTTACTTACAACTGAACTAAAAAGTGGCTTGTAATTATAGGAACGTTGACCCCGATCATTCAGCTCTATCAAGAATGTAATAGATGCCGACAATATCAACAAGAATGCTACTGTATGATAAACCATTTCCTAAAACATTATAACAATTATGTAAAAAGGTAGATAAAAATGTAAAAGTATAGTAATGAATGTGAAAGAAAGTTCATTCATAAAATTTAATAACAGTAAACAGTTATTAAAAACTAATTTTACATTAATGTGCCATAAACATGAATGTGATGTTTATGCTTGTTGTGGGACACATTTATTTCATTTTTTTAAAATTATTGAGGGTGAAAACTAATATACTAATTTTTTTTTTATTAATTTTTAACATTTTATTAAAAAATAATAAAAAGAACCATTAATATACTAAATTAATTTCAAGCAAAAGTTTTGCAATGAATAATTTTGAAAAACTTTCAAGTAGAATTATGTTACTTTTCCAATAAGTCATACCACCAATGGCCTTTTCAGTAAGGTAAAAAAAAAAGTGATGTAATTCAATTACATGTCTAACTTTTTTTTACATTACTCTCTACCTCATGGCATATTCGTGTGGCATTTTTTTGGCGAATAGAAGGGTTATATCCTTGAGGTACAATCAATCTTATTCAAACCAGATAGGGAAGGTTGAGATTCATTCTGTGCATGGGTCTGTATTGAAATAAATTTCTACCTACACAGACAGGATTTAAATGGGTGTCGCTAGGTAATATAAGTTTGACCTGAAATTTGAGAATAATTACCTAACTCCACAGAGTTAGATCCAGTGCTTAACCCTCTGTCCTTCTCCACTTCAGAAGATAAAAAAAGTTAAAAATTACAACTGTCCTTTAAAAAATAATAATAAATACAAATATATATTTTTTTAAATGACTTATTTTACAGTTACATTTTCCTTATGTAACAAAGATTTCTTTTAATTTAACTTTCTCGCTTTTAATTAACTTTGAATAGCAAACTTTTTCTATACTATCAAAAACTAAATTCTTGTAGCATTGGGAAAGTTAGTAACTGCATCTCCAAATATGACCAATAACTTTTTTTTTTATAAAATATAGTATCCAAGTTGATAAATAGAGATTTAGGAATTTAAACAGTGGTTTACTTTTGTTATCTGTCCTAAGCGGTTGACTAAAAAGAGAGAAATAATTTCTTATGTAATCAGTATAATATATTTGTCTACTTACAAACATAGTTTTGGCAATGATAGTTGCCGTTGATAATGACAGCAAACATGATAATAGAAGGCAGAAACTAGCTACAAACACCGTTGTCACTGCAGCAAGAAAGAACTGTTCCGAAAGGGCGCCATATCGGGTGTAATAGTCATTGATGTAAACACAGATTAGGGTAAGCGCTACACCACCTACAACCTATTAAAATACTAACAGTTAACTTATATTATAATAAGATATATTTATATTGCAATGCAAAGCTGTTATTAAGCATTTAAATTAAATTTTATTACAAGGATAGAGAGATATTTGTTCTAGTAGAAAATGATACTTCCAATACTTTCCAATCTTTGTTTCAGATATAATCATAATAACTTCCAAACAATTTACTCATGTTGATTTCAAAATACAAGATATTGAAAGCTAATTCAAGATTCTGTAATAAAAACCTTTCGAATTATTTTGTGAATTAATTAATACTTTTGGATATTTAATAGTTGACCGTTGCATTACAAAGGAAGGAGATGGTCCAGAGTGGCGGTCATAAATAGGCTAAATAGTGACAAAAGTATTTTATCAAAAGCCAACGTTTCGACCAGACTTTGCAGGTCTTCTTCAGGGCTAGAACGGACAAGATACAAAGAGATAGAGAATTGTGGAAGTTACATAATATTTAGACAAAAAAAAATTATAAACAATGTGAATAAGCTTATTAAAATTATAAACATAAGTAAATTAAAATATAAATAGAGTAAGCTAAGTAACAAGATCCTCAACTGAAGGAAATAGATGGTTATAATTGTTGTAGTGTAATATATAAATATGCAAATGTGAATATACTTCTACAGATCTACAGGAGAGATTGAAAGAAAAGGAAAAAATCATGTCTATTATTTCATATTACATCCTTTTTCCTTTTCTTTCAATCTCTCCTGTAGATCTGTAGAAGTATATTCACAATTGCATATATTATATATTACACTACAAGTGTTACCATCTATTTACTTCAGTTCAGGATCTTGTTACTTAGCTTACTCTGTTTATATTTTAATGTACTTACTGTTTAAAATTTGAATAAGCTTATTCACATTGTTTATAATTTTTTGTCTAAATATTATGTAACTTCCACAATTCTCTATCTTTTTGTATCTTGTCCGTTCTAGCCCTGAAGAAAACCTCCAAAGTCGGGTCGAAACGTTGGCTTTTAATAAAATAGTTTTGTCACTATTTAGCCTATTTATGACCACCACCCAGGACCATCTCCTTCCTTTATTAATAATGTTGATATTTATTAAGTATATAAAAATTGTTCGTTTCATTCCAGAGCAAAATAAAAATTGTTCATTTAATCACAACAATCACACTGTTGTGATTTTGCCACTAATGACCCAATGGGCAGAAGCAGAATGCATTAATAAAATAAATAAATATATATTTTTATTATAAACAAAAAAAACTAAGATTATTTAAAAATAAATAATGAAACCAACATTGCTCAGGTATTGTATTTGAATCATCTTATTTTATACAATAAACATTGAGACGACTTTCTCTGTACAGATTTTTCATTTTTTTTGTTCATTAATTATTTTTTGTTGGGAAAAATATCATTTTCAAATTCTCAAATTTTAATATTGATGTCTATATATCGATATGAAACATATCTGTCGAAATATTGATATATAAAATATAGATATTTCTATACAATTTTCTAACATCGCTAGTTTACAAATTATTTAAGATGAGACTTTTTTAAGAAAATCATACTTTATTTTAATAAATATTAAATTCCATGTTTTCAATTTTTTCCACAATTTACTCAGAAATAAACTAACCACTGTTGTTTCCGCAGTGTTTTAATGATGATGAAACCTAAAGAGGTCGAATTTCATCAAGTTGATAGTTCACTACCCTAAAATTATTATTCAATTTAATCTTAGTGTGAGTACCAACCAGTAGCAATCTGAGGTCTACAAAAAATAAAAATATATAAATTGAAAAAAAAAGAAGTTAATTACAGGAATATTAATGCTTTCAGTGATAAATTTCTTATATTTTTTCTTAACACGTGTTTGCATTTAGTAGCTATGGATGCACTTTATTCATAGGGCAACAAAAAAAAAAAAAGAAGCAAAGGATAAAAATTAAAGAAAAATATGTGCAGTAATTGAACCTAAAATGCCCAACCTATCCAATTATTGCTTTGCATGCTTGGTAATGATTAATTTGTATTGATGCAGATACAATGATTTTCCATAATTTTATTATAAAATCTTCAAGAGTAAATCATCATTATGAAAATTGTATTGTATCATCATAACGTTACAAACATTTTCAAAGTCAATTTACTTTGGTTCAAAGTTTATTTAAAAGTCTGATTTTTTACAGCTTTGAAGAAACATTTTGTAAAAATTAAATTTTGAAATAATAACTAATATTTATTAATGTACTTGAATAAAAGTTAAGTTAAATGAGAAATAAGTAGTATTTGGGTTTTTATTACAAATATAATTAACTTGATTGAATTATCATATTAAGAATCTACTGCACAATTAATAGATTTTAATTTATTTATTGGAGAAATTAATTGTTTTAACACAATTTTGAAGTAAAACGTTTTCAAAAATAAAAGTTCTTTAAGAACCTTAAATTGAAAATTTCTCAGAGAAAAAGTTTTAATTCCGAAATAATATAAAAATAACCTAAACTATGAGTTTCAGTCTAATCGAAACTTATTAAAAATAAATGTAAAATAAATGATAAAAAATAAAACAATTCATTTCAATCCCTTAATTCAAGCATTATGCACTTGCACAGTACAGCCTTTATTACGTTTCTTAGTAGAGGATTCAAGATTTAATTTGGGGGAGCTTCAGCCCGATTTTTTTTTTTTTTCATTGTATTTAACGATAATTACTTTGGAAGAAATTGAATATCTATATAAAATGGTGTTTAAGTGATTCATGAAGTCTTAAATAAAAAGTAGTTTACACGAACAATAATACTTTTAGAAATAATGTTTCAATATTTTTTTCACAAGGAACCGTTCTATTTAGTATCTGTATATGCATTATAATTAAAAAATAGAATTTATTGTGATTGTTTATTTACTTTAGCTCACACACATTAACAAATATGGACCAATGAACACAGGCGGATCTATGGGTGGGAGGAGGGGGTTTCCGGCTGAAGTTCCTCTCCCTTCTCCCAAAAAATGGTGAAATAAAACGATGCTTTATGAGAAAAGTATTAAAAAATTATCTCTAAAAGTATTATTGTTCGTGTAATTATATTTAATAAGACTTCAAGAATCACTTAAACACCATTTCATGTTGGTAGTTAGTTTCTTTCTTCTTCTTCCAAAGTAATAATCGTTTTATATATATATATATATATATATATATATATATATGTATAAATTGAAATTTTGGATCCGTTACTGCCAACGAAAAAAAAAATTCAATTTTGGGGGAAGTTCAAACAGACGCTCTTCCCCATAGATCAGCCAGTCACATCGTTGTTCACAATGTTCGCATCTGTATTATTTGTATGCTAAAATTTAAATGTTCAAAATTGTAAAGAAAGAGAGAGCTTTCCTGAGTCCTCCAAGTTAATTTGAGCCTGTGGTCGATCCAAAGATAATATTAGGTCTGAACTCATGACACCGAGATTCGAAGCAGCTTTTCTTGTTCTTTATACCGTCTTGATTTAGATTCTACATAAAAATGCAGCGATCCAAAGCACCGCCAAATCCATAAAAGATGCGCCTTGCCGCCCCTGATGACGTCAACCACGTGTAGGATGTGAGGCAACACGTGGCCTTGTCCTACTGACCCAACTGCCTCCAGGGCGATTCCATATTAGGCCGAATAGACCGGTCGGCGTCGATCTGGTCTCCTTAGAGTGAATTATTATCGATGGGATGATAACAGAAAGGGCGAGTAGCCGCCCAATAATCCACCAAGGCATTTTAAAAAATCTGCTGTGTTCACTCACACGACTTTCTTACCAATTTTTGACACATTTATACATACAACACTAAATATACCCATTAAAAAGCAAATAGAATTAGAATAATTTTTTTTTTTAATTTGTCAGAGAAATGAAAAGAGAACGATTTCTTTCATGCACTAAAGCAATGCAAACGGGAATATGAACTATCATTAAAATCCATTAACGGATCTAGGATTTAATTTTCTTTTTTTTAGGGGGGGGGGAGAGCTTCAGCCTGAAAGCTTTTTTTTGTATATATATATAACGATAATTCTTTGTAAAAAAAAAGAAAGAAACTATATGAAATTGTGTATAAGTGACTCTTGATGTCATATTACATGTAGTTACACGAAAAACAATTCTTTTAGAGATAACTATATTTTATAATTACTATAAAATGGTTATATTTTACCATTTTGGGAGGGAGGAGGCATCAGTCCGAAAGCCCCATCGCAGATCCCTTTGCTAACATTGACCTGATTTAAACTATTTATTTTTAGTTTTGTCGGAAATTAAAATTATTACTTTAAAAAAATTAGGCTGAAAATGTGTTGCTCAGGAGACTTTGAAACGTAAAGAAATGACTTTTCTGCCTCCTTTTCCCATGTTTTATAAGGGGAGGGGATCAGATTTTCACCATCTTCCCGATATTTTTCAGTCATTTAGTTAAAAAACAATTTACAAAATAATTAAATAAACCATACAAATAATAATTATATTAAATTAAAGGTAATAAACTGACGATTGCGCTATTGTATGTATGTCGTTCTGAATTTCGTTCCCTTCCCCAAATATTTTCTATGAGTTGCCGCTAAAGCCCTAACTCTAAATTTCATTATTTCTTCTTACAATTCCAATAAAAGTCTCGAGAGAAAAAAAAATCTCTCGAGATTCATTTTGAACTCGAACTGAAGAGTATAAAAAATCAACAAGACCAAAAAAAAATTTTGTTTTCAATATATAATAATTATAATAGTAAATGGATAGTATTAATCAAATAAAAAAGCTGAGATGCATACGTACTTTGATTATTTCATAAAAAAATCTTACAGCAATAAATCACTTCAAATTTAAATAATTTAAAGTTAATCAATTAATAATAAATTTTAAGTCAATTTTTATCTCTACTTCAACTTAAACAGAAAAAAAATGTATAATTGTTTCGAGGTAATTAATATATCATTATATATAACTCAGCCCAGCTCATTGTTAAGGAAATTATATCTCAGCCGCTTACACAATTTCCGGTGTAGTTCGCTGTAATCAAAGCGTTTTGATTTCGTGATGCAATGTCCTCTTACGGAGGAATAATTCAGTACAAATGGCACATTTATTATTTAAACAAATATATATTTTATATGTTGAAATGATTTTTCCATATTAAATGTAACGTTTATAAAATAAATATTAATAAAATTAATAATTTTAATTACTCTTTCACAATAAACAAACACTAATAAAAAAGAGTATTATTATTATTATATTATACATACAACTTCGAGGAGCTTGAGGAGCCCCGGAAACGTTTTCATATATCCAGTGTTGATGATGATGGCGGAAGTTGATGTGGTTGTGGTAGTCCTCGTTACTGTGACCGTGTGAGACATGACGTTAGTTTTTTGCCCTATAAAAAAAATTATAAAAAATATTTTAAATCAATTTTAGCTAATTAGTATAACATGTTTTTTATTTAAAGAAAAAAGAACAAATACTAAATATAATATGTTGTACATTGTGCTAATACAGCTAATCTATCCAAAGAAAATAACAAGGAATAAATAATGGAAATATAAAAGATTTAGAAATAAATTTTACATACAATAGGTGTAAGTTATTTTCAATGAAGTGATAGGATGAACATAGCTTAACAGGGAGTGAAAAGTCTTACATTTTTAATTTTAATCTTAAAATAGGGAAAATTGGTAGAATGATTGAATAAAAAACAATACTATCAAACGTTAATTAAGGATACAAATCTTAAAGAAGAAAAATCTATAAAGTTTTTGATATTGATATATTGTACAAAATTTGTCCAAAGAAGAAAATAACTGTTTCAAGAATCTTAAAGATTATACAACTCAGAATTCCGAGGTTTGATACCTTTGAGAATATTACATAAGTAATGGGGTGATTTAAATAGACGTGTACTTTTTTATACACCTCTTATAAACAAATTATTAACACCGTCTAAAACTTCGTAAATGACTTCTTATCGTAACTTACACATTTTATCTTTGAAATTTTTCAGAAATGGGAAGTTTTCTCATCAATTTAATGAGGTAGTAAAGCCTTAAGAATACCCATTTGATTTCCAATTTAATCGTAAGATAATTTGGTCACAAAATCGAGAAAAGGGTGATCTATCTATATCATGTCCTTACTTCAAAATGTTGGGAGTAGAGGTCTCTCTTAATGGCCCAATATTTATGTAGACCAATTTTTTTCTCGTTTCCCTGAAATTATCTTACTATTCAAGTGGAAAGCAAATGGATGTCCGAGAGTTTTTGGTATCTCATTAAATAGACATTTTTTAATAATTTGTTGAAAAAGATTCTTTACTGCGGACTATAAGTTTTTACTTAAGCAAAGTAAGTAACATGAAGAAAAAAAGCATTTTAATAAATAGTTGAAAATACTTCGTTATTTAGGTTCTGATTGATACATTTATGTCACAATCAGCAATGCTGACAATGCTACTGTTCACTTTCTTGTATTCTAATATAATTTCGATAGTTTTGATTAATTATTCTCTGAATTAACAAATAACTGAGTATATTCAAAATCATGACGTTTTTTGAGGTCTGAAGCGCTCATATCGCCGAGGGTGTTCATCCACCGAATAGGGATGATGCATTCTCCCCCTACCAAAAAAAATGTATTAATCTCTTTTTCTCAAAAATAGTGCAAGAGGCTTACAGACACGCAATCATCATTTGATCAAATTCTGGAGCAGATAATCCCAACAGCCAGAGAGGAAGTTTCAATTATGCATTTGTTTTATATGTACAAGGTTTCCTCTTGAAATCACTCCAATCCTTTAAAAATTGTGACAACAGATCTGTTACCACAAACCATGAGAACATTTAAATAGATTAACACTAACAAAAAAAAAAAACTTCTCCAATCCGATTTTATAAAAAAACTACATAGAAAAGTAAATAATATCGTTTATCCGAATTCGCAACTAACAATCAAGAGAATTGAATCCAACACGGAATAAGATTAAAAATAGCTCATAAGATGAATAGCGAAATAATTTGTTAGTTTATTCATAATAATGTTTTTTTTTACAGTTTTATTAATAATAATTTATCTAAATTCAACCTGAACTTATAACAAGCAAAGCCTGTCCAAAATCAAATTCCGCCTCAAATCAGATCCATCCCAGTCCGACCAACCACACGATTTGTAACAACCTTTTTTGATTTTATTATAAACTATACGAAAACCATTATAGCAATTGATATATTATAGAATAAAGCATGTTTGGTTAGGATTAGTTTTTTTTTATATATATCTACTGATAGGGAGCGTACTATGAAAGAGCCCAAGGTGATAGCGGTGACGAAAGGTCTGGAAGCCCTGCTGCATGGTGAGTGGGCCAGGATCGCCGACGTTTGTCAGGGTTTGTTCGGCCAAGGGCAGCCGGTTACCTTCAATGGCTAATAGGCTGTACCTCTCCGGAGGGCCTCCAAAAAATAATTTCACGAGGAGAACACTTCGCAATTACACGGTGGGCCAGACCCCCTTACCGTGCACCCCCCCCCCACATCCCTATAAATTGCATATCGTTGTGTTCCTTGTGACAATTTATTAAAAAAAAGCCAATGTTCCCACAAAAAAAAGTGAACGAACTGCCCCAAAATGGCGTCCAAACATGGCGGATTGACGACTTTGACTTTAGTTAGTTTTTTTGTTACTGAGAATCAGCATTTGGCTTAATTTCATTATAGTTGGTCTTTTATTAAAGCTGGATAGTCAGAGAATAATAAAACATGAAAAAATATTAAAAACTAATTGGCTTAGGCATTAAAAAAAATCGGTAAAGTCAATTTTTTTTACAAAAAAATTTTCAAGTTGAAAATCAAGCGTCGTTTGTAATTAAACGGTCAACAATAATGCAAAACGTGCTGAAATAAAACATCTGGAGAATACATTTCTCTTTCTAAAACACTGATTACTTTTTAAAATATTTGAAGTAGTTCCGTATAAAATGTACTTAAGCGGCAGAAAAGCGCTACTGGCGTGGGTGCCTACAGGCCTCTACCACACCACTCAGTACTCATAAATGGCTTAGTTATAGTGCTATAATAACGTTTTTGTTATATTTTATTGATTATATTAACGAACAAATATTAATACAATAATTTAATTGTAAAAAATTATTTTTTTTTAAATTTATTATTTTTGTTTTTATTTTTCATTATTATTTTTTTTAATTTAACTTCATTTATTCTATACGGAGATCGCTTAAGAAGGCCTCTATTATAAAAATTATAAAATTATAATAATAAAACTTAATTCAAAAATACTTTGCAGAATATCTTGATTTTTTTATTTAATATTTGCAATTTAACATTTTGTTTTATATATTTACTGATTCTTAGAGGTAATTTAAATTGTATATACTTCCCCGGAAATGAGTCATATTAATATCTGTTTTATAAACTAAAATAATATATACCTAATCTGAACTGCTTTTAATGAATAGGTGATGGATTGTTTAGTAAAATTGTTATATCGCTATTAAAAAAACCATTTTTATTTCCTTTATTTTATTCGAAAGTTGGACCATATCATAAAAAATAGGAACTTTTAATATTAAAGTGCATTATTCCCTCTGCACAAATGAAATATGGAAAGGGCGAAGCTATAAGTTCTTCTATGTAACTGGAACTGATTGTTAGTATTTGGTCTCAAAATGAGGGAAAACGCGAAATTGAACCCAAACATTGGAAAAATACATTAAGCGAACGACAGTGCCAAAATTTCGGAAAAGAAAACAAGGATCAGTATCCATTATATGGCTAAACGAATATACAGTAGACAGATGAACAGAATATTTCAAGATGCTGCTAAAAGAGGGTAAAAATGCTTGATGGGTTTGGATGATGTTAAGCAGGTTTATTATGGTGAAGAACACTTTATCAGCAAGAAAGATTTGCTCTAAGCAATTGGCAAGCAGGTCTGGAGGAAGTAAACGAGGTTGATAATGATGTTGATGTAATGTAAGGTATAATGTTGATAATGTTGATGTAAACCACTTTATTTTAGATTGCTATTGAAGTTGTACATTGGGACTATCTTCACTTTGAAGCAAGTTATACAGAGGTCTATTGATAAAAGGAAATAGCTCTGCTCCTCTTTAGTGCAATTGCAAAAGATTTTTGAATGAATCTGAAAGGAAAACGAGCTTTTGTGAAAGACTAGTAGATATTCGATCAATCCAAAGTGTGAGGCACTAAGCAGATAGAGAACCATTTTTCTTTCTCTGTGGACTTCTCTATAACCTACCTTAAAGTGAAGACAGTCCCAATTTGCAACTTATGCTCCAATGTGCAACTTGAGTTTCTCAATCCATATCGCTCAGGCAATCGACAATATTTCTAATTTTAGCTTATACGATTCTTGAGTAGACTTTCTTTGGTACTATAAACAGTAAGGAATCTCGAATAACATTTCCTAGTATCTCATTTCCTGCAAAGGGACAAAACTACAGTCCTTTCATATAATTTTCTAATACATTTGTAGCCTTTGTACGCACAGCATTTCAGGTTACTTCGTCCAGACCAGCTGACTTGCCAATTGCCTAGAACAAATCTTTCTTGCTGATGAAATGGTCTTCACCATAATAAACCTGCTTAATATCATCCAAACTGATCAAGCATTTTTACCCCCATTTAGCAGAATCTTGAAATATTCTGTTCATTTGTCTACTATATATTCGTTTAGCCATATAATGGATACTGATCCTTGTTTTCTTTTCCGAAATTTTGGCACTGTCGTTCGCTTAATGTATTTTTCCAATGTTTGGGTTCAATTTCGCGTTTTCCCTCATTTTGAGACCAAATACTAACAATCAGTTCCAGTTACATAGAAGAACTTATAGCTTCGCCCTTTCCATATTTCATTTGTGCAGAGGGAATAATGCACTTTAATATTAAAAGTTCCTATTTTTTATGATATGGTCCAACTTTCGAATAAAATAAAGGAAATAAAAATGGTTTTTTTAATAGCGATATAACAATTTTACTAAACAATCCATCACCTATTCATTAAAAGCAGTTCAGATTAGGTATATATTATTTTAGTTTATAAAACAGATATTAATATGACTCATTTCCAGGGAAGTATATACAATTTAAATTACCTCTAAGAATCAGTAAATATATAAAACAAAATGTTAAATTGCAAATATTAAATAAAAAAATCAAGATATTCTGCAAAGTATTTTTGAATTAAGTTTTATTATTATAATTTTATAATTTTTATAATAGAGGCCTTCTTAAGCGATCTCCGTATAGAATAAATGAAGTTAAATTAAAAAAAAAAATAATGAAAAATAAAAACAAAAATAATAAATTTAAAAAAAAATAATTTTTTACAATTAAATTATTGTATTAA